GAGTTTATTAACATCAACATTTAATTTAGAATGACATGAATTTAAATTTTAATCAAGTGAACTCTGCATAAATTTCAATTTTTTTGGAAATAAATTAAGTAACAATGTTCGTATAGCAAATTTTTTTTAATAAACTAATGTAATTTGTATAATGCTAATACTTAATTACAACTCACTTTAAACCAGAATTTTCTTATATGAAATTAATGTGATCAAACATAAATTATTACATAACTACAATTCAATAATTATTTTTTTTTAAACAAGGAAAATAAGTTACATTGACAGAATTCTCAAGTTTTTAAAAGTTCCAAAAAAAAGTTATCAAGCAACAAAAATTTACGCACAATTTTATTATTTTTAAACACTATAATATTAGGGGTACCTCCAATTTTAATAAAACTTGGTATACTAACGTATTTTGGTGCGTTAATTATGAAAATGATAGTGAAAATTGAAGCAAATTTGATTATCATGGTAAAAACCGACAAAATGTTTAAGGCGAAACTTGACCATAAAAAACACGTTAAAATCGTTGTTTTTTGCGATTATCTCGTAAAAAAAGCAAAATTTCAAAAAATTTTTTTAACAAAAGTTATAGATCTCATAGAACACATATTTTATCTCGTATATATTTTTACCAAAAGTGATCATTTTTATATGTTAGTTATGGTTTTTTAGATTTTTCTCGAAAAATTATGATTTTTGGTAAAAAATGCATAGGAGATAAAATGTACGTTTTTTGAGATCTACAACTTTTGCCTAAAAATTTTTTCGAAATTTTACGTTTTTTACGAGTTAATCGCAAAAAAACCATGATTTTATGGTGTTTTTTATGGTTTTTACCATGATTAATCAAATTTGCTTCAATTTTCACTATCATTTTCATAATTAACGCACCAAAATACGTTATCCTATCGAAAATTCCGACATCGGAACATAGATTGTAGCCTACATCTGAAACGTTATCTAAATGCATATAGGAAACTATATCGGGAACCATATGGGATGCTATATCGGAAACTATACAGGAATCGATGTTGGAAATTGGGACAAGCAAAGATGTATTTTCCCATATAGTTTCCGATATCGTTCTAAAACCAGATTTAATCAATTTGAACTATATTAATCATTTGTATCGTATTTTAACACATTATATTTAAATATTTATGTGCATTTTCATTTTTTAATTTTGATTAATAAGATGAAAGTAGAATGTTAAAACTTAAAATAATTATTTTCTGGATACAATATATTAATAAAATGTAAATAGTAAATATATGTAATTGTAATTTTTGTCTATGAAAAGTAATATATTATCACAAGAAGTCAAAATAAATCTTTTTAAACGAGAAAGGTCATATGATTAGACAGAGGGCTGAATAAATAAAAAATTTATACATTCAGTCATATTTTATTAAATAATTTTATATAACATGAAATATATTTGAACAAAATTATAACATTTTTTCAAAATTAATGTTTTATAAATTATATGAAATAACTCAATTTTTTTTGTTTTAAAAAAAACAATTTAAATGGTTTTTCGAAAAAGTAAACTTTTTAAATAAAATCTTAAAGTCAAATTGTTAAACAATTGAAATGGCGATGAAACGCGTTTTACATATACATTTTCCTAGTTTTCAATAAAAACTTTTTTTCTAATTCGTTAGACTTCTTCAACAGACGTAAAATTTAATTTTCTTCTTGAATCATAAATTTTTTCTGTCATGTAAGACCAAAATTTATTGACTCTGGATAATCTCTTGCATCCAGTTACTTTACTTTCCGTAACCTTATTTTGTAAGTGATCTATTAAAAAAAAAAAATAAATATTTTAAAAAATGATAAAACTAAATGGGTATAGTTATAATGAGCAAGATGTTGAATTACTTATTATTATTTTGCATTTCTCGGGAGTCAACTGTTTTCTTTCTTTATCATATGTTAATTTTGAACTGTCCAAACACCGCTTTTGTAATGTAGTGGTCCCCCAAATGATTTCAGCCAAGTCCTTGACAAATTGCGAATCACGTTGAGTCTTTATAGACTGCCATACATCCATGTGGACAGAAATACCTTCACAGATCTGAAACTTTTAGAAAAGAAAAAATCTTGAAATAATTTAAACCTAAATTTGAATAAATTAATTCATGACTGAATGTTGACAAACTGCAATCATACTAAATTAAATACTATAAATGAAGAAATTACAAGTTTTTCGCTTTTACAAATTTTTTTAATTTGACCTTGATTTTTAACAATTTTACCAATTTACATCTTGTTTCTAGAAATTAATTTCTTAACTTGGGACATTTCACGTGAAATGTCTATATATTCGCAATTTTTACTTGGCGCCAATTATCTACCGCGAATATTGATAACATTTTTCAAATTTAATTCAATGCCTTGACATTTTTTTTAATTACATTAATAATTATCTCATTATATTGAATATCACTTACTTGATCTCTCTCGTCTGTATTGGTATCATGTTCATACATTCTGCTTCGTCTTTTTCTAGGATGTTGAATCCTTTTACTTATACTTGGTTCAGGTATTATACCATTTAATACTTAAAAATCATTATTAATATTATTACCCAGATAGCACGTAATCTTGCAGCAAGTTTGCCGTGGTATATTTGCAATATTCCGGTACAAGCTTCAAATGTCCCACCACGGCAATATTGCACGACAATTTTGCCACAGGATAGCCATAACGTTGCAGTAATTTTGTCGAAAGCTTGCGCGAGATTACCTAATTTTGTAGAAAATTAAAACAAAATTTTTTCAATTTTATACAGTATTAAATCATAGAATCTGTTTTAAGGAAGTTTCGGACAAAGAATCGGAATAAAAGTTATTCCGATGTGATAATTTCGTATTTTATATGAAAAAGTTGAACTACATTTTAAATTCTATGTAGTGAAAGCTTAAATAATTTAATTGCCAACATTTTAAACAATATAAATTTTTATTTAAATTAAAACTAAAAATTTCTGTCATTAAAAAATGATTTAGGTAACATAACCTAAAATTAGAAAATAGTTCTTTATGACAGAAAATTGTAACTTTATTCCAATGCAACTTTTAATTGTTTAAATTGTTGAAAATTATATTCCTTACGCTTCCATTAAGATAAATTAAAAATTTAATATATCTTTCTTATTAAATACAAAATTGTGACATTGAACGACTGTATGTGAGATTCCGCCTTAATACTGTATGAAATTAGAAAATTTTTTTTTTAATTTTCTTAAAATTAGGTAATTTTGAAGCTCAAACATTTGAAACTTGAACATTTGAAGTTTGCATAAACTTTCCGCAAGATTACATGCTATCTGTGTATCAACTGATAATACCTACCATTTTGGGTTTCAAAAGATTCGCCTTCTCTTAACAATGTGGTATCATATGAAGAACAATTTCCCATTAAATTTGAATGCGTGGTCCCTCTTTGATCTGAAAATTTTATAAGAATATTTAAGGAAAAATAAAAAGAATTTTAATTAAATTTCACTTCCTTGTTTTAAAATTTTTTTGCGACGTTAGGTTAATGACCTGCTACATTTTAGGTAATAAATTAAACAAAGGTAAAAACTAAATAAAAAATACCTACAAATAAATTAAATAAATAAATACTAAACAATTAGAATTTATAAAAAGACAAAAATTCAAAGTCTACAATTACAAATTCCAGATAATCATTATCTTGAATTTGTAATGTTAATTTTCTTACGCAAGAAATTAATAAATTCAATAAGTAATTAATGTTAAAGTTACCATGATACTCTTGAGTTGATTCCTCTGCATTGTTTGGTATTGTAGATTCGAATGTAGCTGAACTTGGACAAGAATAAAAAATTCTTTTTTTTGGTCCTAAAAAAGTTTATATTCTTGAGTATTAATAATGTAATTAATAATATTACCTTAGTATTATAATATGAACTTCAAATTTTTGCAATTACTCAGCCCCAAAAATAAAACTAAAAATGAAATAAAGGTTAATCATTTACTATAATGAAATATTTTTCTCTACTTCTTCAAAAAGTGAGTTAGTTTATCAAAGATTTGAATAATTTATATTTAAAAAAAAATTATTATATTCGTGCCACTAATACTAATATTCTCTCAACTAGATCGGGTAATATTGCATCAATATTAACAAGTAATATTAAGGGGTTACATACATTTTTTCCCTGTAAAATTGAAGAGTTTTTATGAATTTCTTTATACATTTCTTTGGAATTTTTCAAAATCAAATATATTTCATCATGTAGTACATGTTTGAATGTATTTATATAAATTTTTTTATTGAAAAATATTAATTTAAACAAACATTATGATTTTTCATTGTTAAAAGATGTTTTTTGATCTCCCAAAACACGATTTTTGAGAAGAAATGATTGCCTGTTGTCTGGAAATTTTTTCCAAGATTTTTTTTGTTCGAACTCACAAACGAGGTGACATAATAAACGAAGGAAATTTATTTCATTTTTTAATTTCATTTAAAGTTTTCCTCATTTATCGTAATGACCGCAATCGACAGTTAAAATTAGGCATTTTCGTGAGAGGTCCACAGTTTCAACAAATGCCAATATTTTTTAATAAATAATTTTATACAAGTACATCCAATCGAGTACTACTTATTTTCAAAAATTTTAAAGAAAAGCCTACGAAAAATTCATGAAAATTTCTCATTCTTACCTTACAAAAAGGTATGTAACCCCTTAATATAATATTAGCTAAATTTTACATGATGCAAAATTTTTCAAAGCATTTTGCTTGAAAAATAAAATTTTTTTATTGTAATATAATAAAAGGTTGAAAACAAGAAATGTCATTTATCTTTTTTTTACATTCAACATTTTACTTGCCGTTTGTTAAAATATCTTGAATTTGTTCATGTAATATTGTAGAAGTTGAAATATTATTTCTTGGTGATGACCTTGTAGATGCTTTATCTTCCTCATCATTAGTATTATTTTTTGCAGATATTTCAACTGCAATCACACATAAAAATAATTTGCATAGAAGTTAGAGGTGTGCGTAATTAATTCAAACCGAATATTATTCGAATAGACAAGGCGAAATTCGAATCGAAAAAACCAATTCGAAATCCGAAGCTTCGAATTACGAGCTGCCACAACTCGACTCGATTCACTTTCGAATTAGACCGAAAAAATTTGGAAATTCTTTCTTGTTTATTATATTTGAAGAGCTTGAAATTTTCAACGCCTTTATTATTTCAACTGCAATTTAAAATTTCTGAAGTGAGGGAAAAAGTTACTTTTTTACCTGAAAAACCGGGAAAAGTCTGGGAATTTCAAAATGGAAATATTGTGGCAACCCTGTCTATTGAATATGTTCCATTTAAGAAAGAGTCATTATTACATTGAAAAAAATTTTGTTTTATAAATAAGTAAGGTATGAATTTTTACTATAATGTTATAAAATAATTTTCTTTGGAAATTTTTTATGGCCGGTAAAAAAAAGCGGTCATCCATTGCATTCTGACAAAAAGAAAAAATTTGTAAGTAAAATTATAAAAATGCTTACCACTTTTTACACTTTCTTCTCCTCCTTCGTCATCTGATGAAGAACTCTCAATTCTATTTCGATTCTTCACTAAAATCGAATAATTTTTTAAAATTCGCTTATTCTCTTTATTGTTTGCTGAACTTGTCAACTTTTCTCTCTCTTTTTCAGCCTATATGCATAAATGTAAATCATTACAGAAAAATTATTGAAGTGAAAAATAATATAAATTTTACAGAAGAAAAATACTATTAAAATATTTTTTTAACAAAGTCGTAGACTGCAACGATGATCAATGAAAGAAATTTATTTAAAGTAATATTAGATTAATCTTAAGAAATATCTAATTTCTCTTTAAGCGCAAATAAAAATACTATTTTTTCATATATCTCTGTTGTTATTATCAATAGTGCTGCGTTGTCATTAAATAAAATATTTATTGACAATTTCTTTTTTGTTTAACGTTGTGGACTTCAAGTTAATTTATTATTAATGAAAATAAAATTCATGAAGGTGAAACAGGAACCGAATTATCAGAACCCACATAATTTTGGATATTAAATTTTTCATAGGTTACATTTTAAATAAATTTAATTTTGGCTAAATTAAGATGAAAGGCAATAAGAAATAGTAAGAATTTGATTTTTTAATTATTTGATGCAAATACTGATTACTTAACTGTCATTAAATAAATATTTACTTCAATAAAAAAACCATATATTTAAATTAATTAAGTACTATTACTTTTAAATATTGAATTTATTGGTTTAAATATAATTCATTTGATTTAAATAAAACAACATACAATAAGCACAATGCAATTAGATTTTTGATTCACGTTGTGATTCCATGGTTAAGTTAGAAATTAAATTTCTTTATTTAAAAATAAGTGTATTTTAAAAAATTGGATTGAAAACATTGAGGAATTGAATCTGATTAAACCAAAAAAGCAATTCAGAAATTTTATTAAGAAAAATTTTAAACATTTAAGTTCTAGTTCAAAAATTGTATATAATTATTGTATAAGAATTTCCTATTTTATAATCAGGATTTATAAAGATAAATTTTGGACGTAAATATTATTATAGTGCTGAAAATCTTAAGTTTTATATTTCAATAAGTCTCTTACCGCAGGCTTCTTTTTTCTTTTGTTTTGATTTATTGACCTTGTACAAGATTTCGCCCTGCTTATATCAGAACTACCGAAACTCATATTACGCCTGTTCGGATATTTCAATCTTCTTTTACTCTTTTTCTTAATTATATCCGATTTGCTCACTGAAATGTAAGAAGAATATTAGCATTTAAAAAATTTTAAATTGAATTACAAAGAGAAAAATTGCAAAATATTTTTAAAACAAAAATTATAATTTTTTTCAATCATTTATTAGTAATGTCGTGAACATGAGCTTTTAAAAATGAAGTAACTAATGCAACTAAAAATTAATTCTATCTTCGGAAGTAGCACGTAACATTACTGTAATGTTACATGTAATGTTAGTAATATTACAATGTAACATTACAGTGACATAACAACAATATTAAGTAACACAAGCATAAAATTTTTCACACGTGCTTTCTAGTATTTAAATTTTTTTTAAATTTATAGAAAAGTATAAAAATTAACAATGTGTGTTTAAGAATTAAAAACAATATTTATTTAATGGTACTTACGGCCTAAAAGAAGGATGTTTCCATTCAAAAGAGTATCGTTTTCCTTTTTTCCATTGAACCATATTTTATATTTTTGATTTAGTTTGAAGTCGGATTCATTTTTTGGAAAAAAATTTTCAATCCATTCCACTGGCACCACTTTCTGACAACCGTTGTGGAACAAAACGAGAGCCACTTTTATAGTCTCCATAACAAACACGAAGTTGACCTCAGAAAATACAAAATAAAACTCAATAAAACTGTACCCGGCAGATCTTCTGGTACCCACTACTCGGTCAAGAAAAATTGTCTGCTCTTATCACGTGACTGACAGGAGATATTACGCATACTTTAACGTTTTAAAACTTTCAAATGCGGGAGGGAGGGAGGGAAAAATAATCCAATCAGCATAAGCGCGTTTCTGTTGGATCAGCCAATGACGTAACACTATAAGGATCCTAACGACACAAAGTTGAGGTTAAAATATATCAATCCTCGGAACTCACCTTGTCCATATAGCGAAAACATCCCTATGTTTGCTACGCTTATTATTTACTGGCATCCAGGATTGACTGTTAACATTCAAATTCTTGTTCGCGGAGTTTAATTTTTGTTAATTGTTAATTAAAAAAATTACATAATTGAATTGGACTACAATTACCATAATATAATAAGAGGTGTAATAAGAGGAGCAGTATTATATCAAGTAAGTAAAATTGTTATTTTTTAGTGTTTACCAATTAAATTAAATAGGTGATATAGCAGAAAATAATACACGTTAAGTTTTTTTTGAAAAAGGGGAGACGCGCGTCAAAAACATATTATACATATAAGGGTAATTGTAAAAAGTTCAAAACTGATCGACGATAAATATATGATATGAAATCGTTGGCTTTATAAGTATATTTCAATCATTTGTTCATATGAAAAGAAAATATTCTATTTAAGTTTATGGATGCAATACACACCACTGAAAGTATCTTCACGACAATCCCTTATAAAATTAATCTGTTCTTGATTGACTAGATATTATTACATATTTTTCATAAGATGTCATTTAAAATTCAAAATTGTTTTATTAATTTCATAAGATAATAACAATCATCATGTGCTAAATTTAACTATTTTTATCTGTCATACATATCCATCATACATAATTATGGGAAAACAGTAATTCAGAACTTAGATTATTAGTGACAATGACAGAATATTATTTGTAGAAAAATTTGTATCAATATTTAAGTATCATCAGTATTTTATCCATAAAATCGTCTTACAAGAAGATTTCGAGAAAATCTGCAGAATTTAAATAAAAAAAATTTAAATAATAATTAAATGTTAAGTTTATTTATTTGTAAGGTTAACGTATTATTATGAAGAAATTTTAATTTAATTAATTTAATTTAATAATAAATTATAAATTAAACTTATAATAAATTTGTGTTACTGCACTTGTTTCTCAGATAGATTTTTCTTGCATTGACATTTGGAAAAGCATTTTCCTGTCGGGAGGCGTCGATATGTAGTAATTTATTTTAATCTATGTTCATCACTAAGTATATGGCAACAATATTAAATAATTTTTTTAGTAAAGCATAAGTCAACATGTTTTGTAAAAACTGTTTTAGCTTTATATTTCGTATAAAATAACATTTTTTTCAATCTAGGGATTAGATAACATCATGAACAATAGCCGTAGACCAAAGAGATATAAGAAATATTTACATCCAGAATCGGAAAATGTTATGCCATCTTCTACGTGGTACCGAAATAAAAAACAGCGTAATGGAGAAGTGTGAAACCATTATAACATATTGATACAAAAATAACAATTTATGACGAAATTGCAGATTTACATGGAAATTTTTTTCAGGGTAGTGGATCTTCATTTTCTTGTTTTCAACAAAATGCTGAAATACAGATAGAAACAGAAAAATTGCCTTTCATTGAAGAATATGATTCAGACGACACCATGAGTGAACGTGATCGAAACCTTGAAATTGCGCTTTCAGAAGAAGAAAATTTTATAGTAAGAAGATTACATATCTATATTAGGCCTAAGTAAACTGAAAATCGTTAAATTTTTTAAAGTCCTAGTCAAATTTATAAGATCCATTTACTAACTGTTGCACTATCCTCTACGCTCTCATAAAAATCTGCTTTCGGTTAATTCGCTTCCTCTCACATGGGACTGACATTCCCATAAACAGAGTTTTAATAAACATTGAACTAAAATAATTTTTAAAATATTTATTGTAAATAAAGGAAAATATGTCATTTTGATAAATAATCAAGGTTATAACATCAAGCCAAGAAAAGATTAAAATTTTTAAAAATATATTGCAATATTAAAGTCGAAATGATGCACTTGTACCAGAATTATCCATACAAGAGAATATTTTGAACGAGAGTATAATTATTTGTATAATTTGTAAATTTTTTAATAATAATATAGAAATCTAAGAAAATATATTAATAGAATTTTATATAAATATATTTTTTGTTTCAATAATGTGTTTTTAATTACAGGCATACGAAACCATAATAAATGATAATAATGATCAGTTTGAAATTGAACGAAATACAAATGAACTGTTTAATCCATGCACAGTAAATCATGCTGATCAAATTGAAAAAGTGGTGGAACTATTTTCTGACGATGAATTAGAATGCCCCAACATGTCATATGCTCAGGTAAGCTGAGCATTTATTATATTTGAAATATTCTTTCTTCATTTTAAGCGTCTATTATTATATAATAATATAATATAATAATATATTATATATAATATAATAATATATTACATGTAATATAATAATAAATATAATAATAGTCGTATTTTTTAATTATTACTGTATTGAAAATTCTGTACATGATCACGTGCAGTTTTCTGTAATATTTTATATATTTATACAATATCTTGAAATACATCTTGGTTATAATATTCTAAGAAAGTTTAATTATATTTCAGAGTGATATGGAGGACAATTTTCTTGTGGAATCATCAGATGACGATAACCTTTCCCTGGCTGAAGATTGTGAACCAATTGAAAATAACGACTTTCCATATAGAAATTGTTTCTCATCCATAGCAGAGGTGATTGGTAACAATAATATGTCAACTCCAATACAAGTGCCAGTAAAGATTACTCCTAGTGAATTATTATTAATGATTCTAAAATATGCAATAGTACACGCGTTGTCATTAATAGAAATCACAAATCTATTTAAACTAATAAACTGTATTTTCGCTTTCAACGTTTTGCCAAATACAAAATATTTAATTGATAAATTGTTCTACCCAAAAAATCGTACAGAACTTCATGCAACATGCACAAAATGTTCTGCATATGTAGGTAAATTTAAACGAGAAACAAAATTTGTAAAATGTAAATCGTGTAAAACCAAGATTAACACAAAAAATTATAAGTACAAAGATTTTTTCGTGACAATGGATGCTTCTTCGCATATTTTAAAACTAATAGAATGTAACAGTACTTATTATAAATATGTAGTTAACGAAAGAATAAACGATAAAGGCAATATTCGCGATATATATGATGGCAAATTATATCGCAACTTTGTGAAAAATTTAAGTGAAAACGATAAACGCAGCTACGCTACTGTTACATTTAATACTGACGGAGCACCGTTATTTACCAGTTCCTCCTACTCAATTTGGCCCATTTTCCTAATGGTAAACGAATTGCCTTATCACATTAGGTCAAAGAATTTAATTTTAATTGGTCTCTGGTTCGGTAAAGATAAACCAAAAATGAATGTTTTTCTGAAACCATTTGTGCAAAAAATGAAAGTTCTTTCAACTGCTGGGGTTAAGTGCAAAGTAGGTGTTGAAGAAATGAACATAAAAATTTTTGCGCAAGTATGCTGTTGCGATTCAGTAGCTCGCGCTCCCGTAATGGGATTCGTGCAATTTAATGGTTGTTATGGATGTCACCAATGTCTTCATCCTGGAGAATGGGTTCTCAATAGTAGAAAAAAGCGTTCAGGAATTATAAAATATGTTTTGACTAAAGAAAAACCGAAAAGTAGGAACAATGATGATACTATAAAGCATATGCAGTCCGCATGTCAGTCAGGAAAATCTGTTTTTGGAGTAAAACAACCATCTCAATTAATAAATTTAATAGATTTTAATTTTATTTACGGATGCATATTCGACAGTATGCACTGCATTTCTGGGATAGCAAAACAGTTTGCTACAATTTGGTTTGGGAATAAAGAAAAAGGTGGTTTATTTTCTAAAACCTTTATTCCTACGATTGATAATGCTTTGAATAGTATTAAAGTTCCAAATCAGATTTGCAGGCTTACACGCCTATTTTCTGAAAGGGCATTTTGGAAAGCCAGAGAATGGGAAAATTGGGTTTTATTTTATAGCAGTCCAATTTTGCAGACAATTTTACATGATGACCTATTTAAACATTGGACTCTCTTAGTTGACGGTATTTATCTTTTGCTTCAAGATGAAATCAAAATTTCAGAAATAGACTTGGCTGATGAATTGCTACACAAATTTGTTGGAAAAACAGAGTTATTATACACTAAAAGAAGTATGACATTTAATGTGCATATTCTTCTTCATTTATCCAAAAGTGTTTTTGATTGGGGACCTCTATGGGCACATAATGCTTTCGCATTCGAATCCGGAAACGGAGAATTGTTAAAGGTAATTCATGCCGCGAACGGAGTTCACCACCAAATTTGTAGACAAATCAGTCTTCAATATAGTATGCTTTTCCTAAAAGATCACCTTTATCCTAATTGTTCCTTTAAAGTCAAGGATTTTTATGATAATATTGGTACAGTGAGAATAAAAAAAACTCTACAAATTTCTGGAATCCGATATTTTGGACCATCATCATCTGTAGAGGAAAAATGGATAATAGATTTGAACATTTCTGAAAAATCCGTTTCTTATAAAAAGATTGTAAAAAATAGCTGTTTATTTATGTCTTGCTTGAAAAATAACAAGCGTTCTAACAACAGCTTTGCAATATTATATAATGGTACTTACGTCCAATTGTTTAATTTTGTAGTTGATCCTGTTACAAAGAGTGAGTATGTTATTGTAAAAAAAATTGTAACCGTAAATTTCATTGACGAGAACTGCAGAATGATAAAAAAAATTGTAGAAATTATTGACAACAAAGTTGCTGTTCCTTCTCATGAAATTAAAAAAGTATGTGTTTATATGTCACTAAATG